AAAAAAAAAAAGAATTCACGCGACGACTTGCCAAGGAATTTTAATCTGTCTGAGTAATCAATGATTGCAAATCAGTTTCACATACGTTGTGTGTTTCATGATTTTTTCTGCTTTACTGTGTGGCTCGTAATTTTGTTCTTTTTTACCGATGTTTATAGAAGAAATTGTACGTATTTCCTTCCACCCTCGCGTGCATAATCCCTCGCTTAAATTAAGTCTGCAGTTCTCTAGAAAAAATCAAGCGGAAATTTATATCATTGAGATAACAGTGAACATCTAGTTCCATTTTAATGTGATATTAAAGTGAAGATCGTGTCACAAACCTGTTGTCGAATTATTCATCGTTAATAAAAATGTTCTTCTTCACTTATAACTCAGCTGAAAGGAAAAACAAAGGTGAAGGCAGGACTTAAAAATACTTGTTTTGTTTTTGTTTTTTCACAAAGCAAGTAAACGAGAATTATTGAAGGCTTTTTTAGTCACAATCTTGGTCCTATACTAAAGGAGAAACGTTCATTGATGACAAATCCTTATTCTTAGCGAGAAGCCATCAGACGTCGCCCAAGTATTCCACCGATGGGGCTAGATTAAAAACAACGAAACCACACTGTCATAACATGTGTTTCCTTCTCAAAGGAGTCGCAGATGGAATATTTCACAACTGATTTCATTATTTGTGAATTGCTTGTCGAATTATTTATCGTTAAATAAAACGTAGTGCTTTTTGTTTTCTTTTCAAGTATAATTTTTTACATGAACTGCTGTAACGCTTGAGAAGGCTATTACTAAAAATAGCAGCCTGATTACCGATATTTTTGCTCAAGTTAGTCGCAAATGCTCACAAAGAGATCCAAGATGTCAGAGCTACAATTCAACTACACTTTTTTTGAGATTGTTTTTGGAAAAGGATATTTTACGGCGAATTGCGGTAAGAGTTTATGGTCAATATGGACGGGAACTCATCACAAACATTTCACACATTTAACCGATCGTCTTCAAGCATTTTTGTTTCAGAGACAATGGCTATCTTTAGTTGTAAGATATCTTAAACCTTGTAATTTCAAATTTCAAAGCCAGCCGTTCAAACCTAATTATTGTTCCCACCGTTGACTAACACACATTTACCTCACAATGACCAACTGCCCTTCACAAGAAGCCTGAAAGAAATACTGTTATCTTCATTCTGTTTGAAGTTTCTTCAGTTTAAAGGATTTCCAGCACATTCCACATATGCGTTTACTGTAAAACTTGTCTGCAGTTTAGACGCAAGTCGAAGCAATAATTTTTTTATGATTATGATTACTGATAATTTTAGGGCAGAATGTTATTGACATGGAATTTAAAATTATGTCAGTTCAATATAATAATTATCTTGAAAATGCCATCTGATTGGCTAGCAGAAAACAGATTTTACGTAATACTTGCCTGCCGGATATGATGAGAAAGAAATGAACACGCTATTCGTTAACTTTTTGCTCCTTTCCTAACTTTATGTGCCTTAAGTTCATTTTTTTGCGGTTTTCTGATGCAAATCGTGTTGAATAATGAGCGAAAGCTTTGCTAAAAGTTGAGGGTGTACGCTAAAATAAACAGAATACTTGTGTGTGACAGTTTACCGATTACCAAAACCAATCTGGCAGGTGATTTTTTTCGGATAAAATGGAAATTATTGAACATGACAGTTAATTTAAAGGACGCTTTGCCTTTCCATGGAAACCACAACTTTGTACAAGCTTAATTTAACGCGCGACCGAAGAACGCTTTAAGAAAACGTACAGGTCCGTCGCAAACAAAGTAATTCACTTTTTAGCGCAATTGCCTGCAATGTATGTATGTTCTGCCAACTAATGACTTACTCCACGCTGATAACGATAAAATATCACATAACAGCAGATACGTGCTGTGCTGAATTTAATTATGTATGTATTGTGACAAAGTTTATGTTTAATAAATCCACTACTAAGAGCTTGAAGAAAATCAATAATTTATTTCCAAAAGACCACATAGAACATTCCATTTGTTGAAATAACAGCATGGGCAAGCCGTTGTCACATGATTTAACTGATTTGTGCCAAAATTGTAACGTGACGTCAACGAGGCTTCCTCAAATTAGGGAAACTTTCTCGCGTTCTGGGTCGTGCCAATTATAACAAAATAGAGTAGGTTAAAGTGCTGAAAATTACTCTGATTGCGGGTTAGGTATTTACCCAAAAGTAAATGGTTATTATCTTATTCAAACAATTTTTGGCGGCTCCAAAGTTGTACACGTACTAAATCTCACGCAGAGTGATTAAGATTTTATTCAGAGCAATAATACATAAGTAATTTTATTTACATATTCAGCGATAACTTTACAGTTTCTTAAAATTTCAGTAGGTGATATTATTAATTTGAGATGCAAGTCCACTTTGTGCGCCGTGTTGTTGGTAATCTTTAATAACGTGTTACAAAATGGATGACAACATTCGTACAATGATGGAAACTAAAATCCCCCCAAAAGAGGATTTCTGAATGTTTAAAACAAACGTTACGTAAGTATGATTTCTACCGAGTCGTCAAGGGTCATTTTACCACTTGTGAGATCCATAAATTTCAACCTGGTTCAAGTTTGACTATTTGAACGTTTCTGCAGCTTCCTAACATTTCTCCCATGTGTTGATATCGTTTTCGACCCTAGCAAAAGTAATATGCATGTTGAAACTCTCATATATGAGCGTATTCTTACATACTTGAAAGAGGGCAAATGCTTTTACAACAGAGGTCAGGAGTCCTGCAGAGATCTGTTTATTACAAAATGGACGAGAGAGTTCCGAGCTAAAAACAAATTAAAACAAAAGAGAACACCCGATATATTCTTCTTTTTTTCAACTCCACCTTTGATCCATATCTTATTTCTTCTTACATCAATCATATCAAGCAGATGGGGAAATGAGAATAAAGAGCGTCATCACCACGGGAGATTGCCTTGATGTTATATTTAGCAATCACATTATGAGCTGGAGATTCTATCGCTCGATAGTTGACGAGGGCGCAGATCCACTCTACTTATCACGCACAGAAATCGAGAACGAATAATCTAGTTGTTTTAGTATAAATCTAGTAGTTGTTCAAAACTTTAATCTAAATCCTCTTCAAAGGTACTTCGATCACACAAAGATGCGGCCCCCAGCACACACTGCTGGTCCACTCACTATTTACAACAGAATAGATAGTAAGTAGCGTAGTCAATCAGAGAACGGTCGTAATAGGACGCTAGTAGATTTATACTAATATCAGATATAACCCAATAAATAATGAACACTTAGTGAGTTTGTTATGAATTAGGTTTTCTTTTTCCGTTGTTCAGCCCGTCCCATCATCCTAAAGATCTTTTTTCTTTCTTCTCTCTGCTTCTGAAGTCGCTTGACATTCTTTTTCTCTTGTTCTGCGTGGAAGACATTTCTTCTTTCTTGCAGTTTCGCCTTTCGCTTTCGTAGTTTCTCTTTGTTTGCAGTGTAGAGTTGTTGCATGAGAGTAAAAGCCTGTAAAATGTAAAATGACAAAAATCACAAAAAAATAAAACAGATTATAGAGTTTGTAGCAAGAAATTCAAAAGAAAGAGAAAGGGACGCATTAAATGGACATAAAAATAGAAAAATGACTTAACGAATCTTCAATCAAAGAACTGAGTACACGTTATTAACATATCACACAATTTGAACTGAGGTAACGTAGAATTCAGCAATTATTCCACGAGCGCGCGTTGGATATGAGATAGTAGATAGCCAACGAGGCGGGTTGCGCCGAGTTGGCTATAATTATATATTCAACAAGTGTGAGTTGAATAAGTGTTTTATTAAAAACGCCCCCAAAGTGTAGAAAACTAACCTAAAATAAAAGCAAAAACGCCCCGCAAAATCACGCGTACGCTTACCATATTTGTAGAGCATGGTATAATGGCTCATATACCATGATGCTAAGCCAATGAAAACTCTTGAATTGCATTATCTAATAATACTGTTTTTAAAAATAGTTCTTATGAAATTAAAGAATCCCGATGATGTCGTAACGCCTAATTTCCATATTTTGCGCGCAGTGAGTGCGCACATTGTTTAGAATAAACCTTTAACCAGCTGCTGCTACTGCTGGTCACCTCAGTCGCAACTTGCTGAGCCCGCGAATTTTCTGACGCTTGAGCCAGTCAGCGGTTTAGCTGCTTTACTTACCGACTTCTCGTGCGGTTCCATGACAACAGCACGCTTCGTTTCCAAAGAAGGCTTGGTCCTTTTCTTCATCTGTTTAGGTTTCGATTTAAATGGCAACTGCTTTTGAAGTTTAGCAGGAATCACGAGTGGATTAAAGTGACGAGTCTCGCGTTCCACAGGCTGAAAATGAAAACAAACATGTTTTTGCTTAGTCTCATAGTTGCTCCATGTTCCTCAGCAAAGCAGAACACCTTGAACACCTTGTTAATACGGTGAATTATCTAGGTTAACTTGGCCCAAACGAACGTTCTAACAGTTTCTCTTTTAAGAATCCTTTTACTGTAAAGCCAACGGCCACGTGCTATGACTGAGTCAGTCAACTTGCATGAACATACCTTGTACAATGAATCACTGTTAAATGGAGCTTTCATGCCCAGATCTCTTCTCAACTGGCCTACACTGCGCATGCCCTGCCACGTTTCCTTCTGATCTGGAGGCAGCAGTAGTGACGTCACGGGGTTGTAGAAGTTAGGCACGGTGACTGGGTACCACGTTCTTATGAAGACAATATCTGGTGAAGCAACAACACGAGAGCTCGACTGCCTTCATCGACCTCCATACATTCCTTGATGTATACTTAAGGAAAATTTAAATATCAACATGATTTACGTTTGCCAATCATGTTAATTCTCGTAAACTGACCAATAGTGCAAAATATCTCAAGCAGGTCTATAATAACCAATAAACTTTCTAGTTTCTTTTCGGTCTGCTCGCCGCTTAAGTTGAAGTTTGTTCCTTACGTTACAAATAAAAATAAAGAATATGAGTCAATATTATAGGGAGATATTACACTTACCACTAATTAAGATTTTGTCCTCAAATGTTGCTCGGAAAGCACCCTCTGGAGTCTGATGGAAAAAACAAATCAAACGTTTCGCGTCAAAAACATAAAATCAGGCTAAAACAATAGACCTCACTGCGAGGCTCTGGGGAAAACTACAGAGTGTGTCGGGTTTATTCCCCAGAGCCTAGTGCTGAGGTCTACTGTGTTAGGCTGAATTTTAATATATCGAAATTGGACTATAATACACGCTAAAGTCGATATAGGAATGACAATCAAACCCAGAATACCTTCAGCGCACGCTTCACTTGTCCTCTGATACCGCTGACAGTTCGGATTGTAGCACCTTCAAATTTTGCCACTTCCAAAGCAGAATTAAACATACCCTGAACAAAGGAAACAATCACACACAGTCAGAAAAGGAAAATGAGAAATTTAGGTAACGAAACTTTCAAAACTTAAGAGGACGAGACGTCACTGAAATAATCATGATTACCTTGATAAATGCGGTGTTTTTAAATATCTTCATGGGTGTCCCTGTTAACTTGAGTTTCTTGACCAGCTGTACAGACTTATCTAAGTCCAACACAGTGCCCGTGGCCGAAATACGAAAGTCTGCCTGAAAATAGAAACATAAATGGTTGAAGAGACTCACTTCAAATGCAGAATAAGAAAATTCCGGCAGCCGAACTTAAACTTGCATTGTGTTGTACAATAAACATTACACTGCAATGTACTGTGAATACAATTTACAATTAGAATCGAGCCAGGAGCGACATGGACATCCCAATCCCGGTTTTATTTGCAGTTACACGCTTTCATTGATTACATTCCTGGTTACAACAGGCTTCACCGATATACTTCAGTTCATGACATCCTCAAAGTTACGTGACCTGTACCATAAAAAGTTTCAAATCTGATCCAGGCATACATGTACGAGCTTTATTTTCGGCAAAAACAGATATTGGAATATAACTACTTACCATGTTGCCAGCCGTGCTCTGAATAGCGAGAACACCAGTTCCTGGGGCAGCTATGGGACCTGATAACAAACAAATTTATGTTAATGACGTCTGTGACTGTCCAGAGAAAATCGTGTTTTACGAACTACATGTAACTAGCAGTAATCAAAGATTATGAGAGTGCGTTAGACGCCTTCACTTTATAGCTTGAATGATTTCATTTACTAACTTTCAACTCCTGTCTATTGCTAAAATTAACATTTTTTTATGAACAACCGAAGTTTTAATGACAGATACATTAGTGAATGACAATTCCCCCAAAAGGCATAACGCATCCTTACCAAATAAGGTGGCCATACAATGCAAGTGTTCTGGGGTGTATTTCAGCAGTCGATGCCGGCCGTTGTGGTCCTGGACCGAGTACATTGGAAGCGTCTGGAACCTGCGCCAGCCAACAGACATGATCAGCGGATCCCGTGTCTTGAGAATGCGCTTGTGCCAACGATGCTTTTTTAAGCGCACCTAAAAAGTCAACGTAGCAAAGTTTAAAAGCAGAGTTAATGCAAGCAACTGACCGTTCGATCTAATGCATAATTACCTAAGTAGTAAACAAGGCTGGCATGTTGAACCGGACAAAAAATGAAAACTGAAAAATTGAAAACTGCAGAAGCAAACCTGAATAAAGCCCATGTTATCTTCACTGGAGAGGAGGCCGCCAAGAATGACGGGATATTTGGCATCAAAGTTGGTGACAAACTCACACGGCATTCCACTCAACTGATGTGAGAAACAAAAATGAATGATATGTGCAAGCACGTAAGTGATATTTCCAAATACATAACCACTAACATGTAGTCCTGCATCGCTAAAGAATTCTCGTTCTGACTTGATGTACTGCTAATTTCTCTGCACTAACACAGCAAGATATGTGGTGGTAAACAGTTATGAGATTTAACACGTCAATCTTAGTACTGACCTCCACTCGGACATACATTCCTGGTCTGAATCCTTCATACTGCACACGAACCTCATCATCCATATCTTGAAACTCCGATTGATTGAGCTGAGAACACCAATGAACGTAATGATAAGTAATGTAATTCTCAAGGCTGGAAAAGAGAGACAACTTGGGTAAATAATATATAGCTATATATGTTACACGTATATAGCTTTAAAACGCTCCTCCTTTACAGTATTCCATATGAGGCTATTTTACTCACGATCTCGACAACTTATGCGCTATTCGCTAGTTTTTCATCATGTCTGCTGAAATGTTTTTATTCTCGTGGTTAATGTTTTTCACTTTTGTTAAGGGGTCAATATCTGAAGTCAGTGTCACAAGAAGAAGAATGAAAGAAGAAACGTGGACTCTCGTACACATTCAAAATCAAACCTACATGTAACCCTGAGCATGAAAGAGAAGCCTCAAGCCTTCTTACTAATCAATAGCACAACAAAAGGAGAGCGGCATAATCCTTGATAACCTGTCTTTCATGTCAGACTAAAGTGTACATAAGGAATAGAAAAAACACAGAAAAGAAAATTGACTCTTATCTTCTGATGAACGCACAACATATTTTCCTTCACAATAAATTAAGCGAAATGAAATGTAATAATTCAGAGTAATACAGACCTGGGCTTGTTCTGTCATCTGTGCTTTAAGATCCTCATAATATGAAATTTCATCTCCTTCGTCGTATCTCAGAAGAGTTAAGGCACTAAATGTACATTTACAACATCCGCTATACTCAAACGGCTAAGATGAACGAAACAAGTTGTTTTCTTACGTTGGTGCAGACAGTCAGGACTTACTTTCAGTGAATTCCATTAATGATTGATTGATTGTTTATGATTTGGTGCGACATACATCACAAGGCTGCTTTGTTACCAGTAGACTTCGTACAGTGTCAGACTAGAGTTTAGATTTGCAATTGAAACATATCATGAAGGATACACTGCATCAAATGCCGCTTTCTGTTTCTTTTTCTTCTCAAGTCTCCTCTCCTCTCCTCCAGTCTTACTCTGTTCACTTTCGTCGTTTTCATCTCCCTGCCCCTCCCCCTCTGAGTGTTCATCGTCATCAGCCTTATGAACTTCACCAGTTTCCAGGTCCTCAAAGTCTCCAAACACGTCCTCGTCTGACACTACATGTACATGAAGAAATCCAAATAGAAAAACAAAATGTTAAAAATTGAGCATACATGTAGTATGTGCGTGAAAATTGCTGGCATTACACCTCTTGTTCCCCATTCTTGCTCAAAAAGCCTACATTGTACTTTTGGAGCCTTAGAATATGGCGAAAGTTTTAATGCTACAAATTATAAATGTACAGTGGAACGCTTGTACACTCTATGTGGACCTGAAACCAGGACGCACAAAGAAAGACCCCTCTCAGAACCACAGACATGACAAACAGACCATTATTTTTCTGCTTGTGTTTCTTCGGTCTTTTCACAGCTACATCTAACTTGAATGATAAATATGGTGTGCGTTCAGAGCTAACAGTAAACAGCATCATGATATTTTAAGTTTGGTGCAGAAGAGAGGCCTTAACTTGTACAAAGATTTGGTCATACATGTATATACATGTACATAGTACACAAACATAAAAGCGTGACACATTGTTGCATGAGAAGTTCGTACTTTGATCATCATCCTGAAGAAGCATCTCTGCATCTTCTGAATCTTTCCACTTGCCAGTCACAAAACAGTCCCGGATGCTGTCCAATACTTCTGGTTGGCTCCAGTCTCTCAGCTGCGCACTGATCACCTCTAGTGAACAGTCCCTCTCATGCATAGTGCCAGTGTTTTGAGAATCTTTCTTGGACTTTAGTCTAAAAATACCTCCAACAGTGTCGTCATCACTATCATCGTTCACATCCGGTTCTTTCTTGTTTTTATGGAGAACTGCATAAAAAACAAGCAAAGGAACCACAACATGGGTCAATCCTACGTGTATCTAACACAGGAAAATGCCCCTGACTTGCCCTATTGGCTTTCAAAAGGAGTACACTGTTTAGTATAGAGCAAGCCAGAATAAATCTTACCATTTCCATACACAAGCTTCTGTAAATTTGGAGTGTCCTGTTGACGTTGGAGGAAGGCAGCTGCAGCTTTTTGTGCCAGATTTTCTTTCCATCTTAAGACACCTGAAAGATATCAACAATTCAATACATAAATGACATGTACAGGGGTTAAAAACACTAAACTGCTTGTCTATCTGCCTTTCTGCCTGTGTCTATCTGCCTGCTTGTTTATTGGCTTGCCTGTCTGTCTACCTGCCTGTCTGTTTGTTTGTCTGTCTGTCTGTCTGTCTGTCTGTCTGTCTGTCTGTCTGTCTGTCTGACTGCCTGCCTGCCTGGCTGTCTGTCTGTCAACCTACCGGACTACATGTACATAAAAAACATGTATCTTTCTGTCCGTCTATGTCTGTCTGTCTGACTGTCTACTTGCTTGTTTGTCTGTGTGTCCATCTGTGTATCTGCCTGCCTGCCTGTCTACTGTATGTTGATTTGATGTAAGGGTACCTTCTTCTTCTTCCTCGTTTTCCATTTCAAGACTTGATTCTTCAAGAGTTCTTTCATCTGAATCATCCAAGCTTTCTGACTCTGCCTTTCCATCACTGTCATCATTGTCCTCTTCAGGATGTGTCGTTGAATGTTTACTAAGACTTGATTTTTTCGAAGAGTTATCCTCAGTTCCTTCAGTTCCTTCCATCATGTTTGTTTTGTTTAATTTGGTACCTTTTTTTCTTTTGGTAGAAACATCTTCTACAGGCACGTGTTCTAATGACAATGTTTCCTTTTTAAGCTTCTTTTTATCCGTTCCCTTTCCAGAGTCATCTTTCTTCTTTCTTTTTGCTTTAGGCAACTCATCATCTGATTCTGAGGTTTCAACTGAATTCTCATTGACATTTGAACTGTCCTGATCATCAGATTCCATTTCATAACTTCTGTCCCTTTCCTCTTGTCCTGAATCTTCGTCTGATTCAACTTCTTTATGAATTTTGTTAGTTCTTTCTGCTGATGCAGTTTGTTTCTGCAATGACTTTGCCTCATATAGAGATTGTTTGGACTTCTTTTGAGATTTGAAGTTAAATACTATTTCATCATCATCATCCTCATCTGTAATCTCATTTTCGTTGTCGTTGTCCTTGTCATCCTCCTCCTCCTCCTTCTCATTGCCACTGCCATCAATATCATCGTTACCATCATCAGCAATGTCCTCATCATCATTATTACCAAAATTCTCCATATCCACACCATCTTCCTCTTCACTTCTTACATTTTCTGCATCACCATCCAGATCTACATCATCTTCATCGCCAAACATAGCTTTCCTTCTTGCACGGCCATTCTTATCTATAACAACTTTCTCAGAAGGTTTTTTATAGTCTTCATCTCTGAGAAATAAACAGAGAATTACAATTATACTTGATCGAGATGTACATCTGTGTACATGTACTTCTAAGTTTTCAGGACTTCTATGATCTACCTGAAACCATCAATGTAGTCTCTTATTCAAGAAATTTTTCTAAAGGAGTTAATGATGGTCTGTACAGGAAACCAGGTAAATTATAATTCTAATTTTAGACACAATTAGTACTCACTCAACAACTTCATCAGGAGCAATTTGAGCACCATCCTATAAAAAGTCAACAGAAATTAGATTAAAGCTTCATTTGAAAATTGATTATTTGACAATTTTCTTATGCAATGTGTTAAATTATTAACAATACTTTTCCTCTATGTTGATGAGATCACATGGTGCTCACTTGAAAGCAATAAATTTTGTTCATGTTCCTATAGTTCTTGTAGTTTTGCTGCATTGTCTATTTGCCTTTCCACGTTCTTGCTCAAAAAGCCTACATTGTACTTTCAGGGCCTAAGAACACATGGCCAAAGTTTTAATGCTACAAATTACAAAAGAACAGTGCAACGTTTGTACACTCTGTGTGGGCCTGAAACCAGGATGTGCAAGGAAACTACAAACATGACAAACCAGGACACACAAGGGAAGACCCCTGTTTGCAATGTAACATTTGTTACAATAAGTAATTTATGATGATATGCAAGCAGGGGAAACTAAAATAATTAACCAGAGTAACAATGAAAAACAGTCTTGGCAGTGTTCCATAATGTCAGTAGATCACAGTGCTGTATATTAATGTAGTAAGACTATTTATTAAGTTTTCTCACTTCTTTGTTTAAAATTTTATGAAAACTACTGTTGTACATGTGAGATCTTTGAACAACTACCAATAAAAAGACACTGCTTACCGTAAACAATGTGAGATGGCTTGTCATCATTTTAGTGTCAATAGTTTGTTTTGCGCCAATTAAAGATGACACCAGTTCATTTCCTGGCTGACTGTCAACCTAAACAAAAATCCAATAATATTAATGCGAAGAAACTGATTTACTAAATTTACCAAGTACACGTACAACGTACAACACAAATCAGCAACATGAATTCCAGTCTCTGAAACAAAATTTGTGTAGTACAAACAAAGTGCTAACTGATATGATAAGATTATATTTGCAGTTGCCTAAAATACTTCGCATGAACTTTTTTCAAACTTTGAATTTACCTGAGCGGAGGACTGGGATTTTTCTCGCGCTGCCTGACTTCCACCAAGGTCAATGTACACAGCATCCTGGAAAGGGTAATAACAAAGTTACATTCAGCAGAACCACAAATTATACACTCAATGACAATGTGGAAAATGAAAATGAAAGTGAAAGTGAATTATTTCATATATACTTCACAATGTGGAAAATGTTTTGTCAACAGCTTTTAAGATCTGTACACTGTAAATTGTATGAAAAGCAGCCTGCAAAGAAAGACGTGCCTGACAGCCTGGAGCTGTTGCACTTTACAGTCAGGCCAGTGGATTCTGTCCTTCACTTGTCTGCTGGGCAAGTGTACAGTCACAAAGTTTCTTTGAATTTTTTTTGTGAGGAAATTCAAATCACAGAATTGCTGTTACAAGAGATGAAATTTCTAGGGCAAGAATAACATGAGAGCAAGAAGATCAAGCAAGCCTAAAAATTTGTTTACTTTGCATGATGAAAAAGAACCATATACAGTACACTACAACTTTACCTGTACCGAATATATACAACATTTTCATATCTGTAGCCCGTTTAAGAAAATTAGTCATAGATTTATTGTTTTCTAGACTATATAAAAAAACAAGATTGATAGTACATGTATCAGTAAAAGGTTTCTGTGTTGATTGCTACCTTGTCATAAACAACTCCTCCAACTCCAGATAAAGGTGCATACATGAGACGTTCTTTCTCATTCAGAGACCTCTTCTTCTCTGCATTTGGCAGAGGACAGGGGTCTGGTAAAAGACTTATCTCTTCAAGAGTGTGGTCTCCACAACCTACAACAAGAAAAGACATAATGTTCAAATGAAACAACAGGGATCAATTTCCAAGTTACTAAGTATTGCACTGTAGAACTTCAATATTGTTGTATCTCCTTTACTTTATTTGTCTTTTACCCAACCACAACAGTGTAAAAATAAAAGTAAATATTGAAAATCCCTCACTAGTGGTGCTGCCTTGAATTAGTGACATAAATAAACCAAGTTAATTACCTATGATATGTACTCTGGAATTGTGTTGCAGATGAGCTCCTCTTACATAGCCATATAAAGAAACTTTCCTGTCGCACTTGGCATTTTGACGAATGAGCTCTGGGTCTGTTAGTTCCTCCATTCTACAGGTAGAAAAGTTGAAAAATGAGACTACAATCAATACTTCATGTTTAAAGGTCCATAATTTATCTCAGCTACTAACACAGAAACATAAAAAGCATATAGATCTGTGCTTACTGTCAGTACTGTATAACGTCACAGTCAAAGAAAGACAGTGGGATGTTTAAATTATAAAAAAATGTAATTTTACATATCTATCAGGGCGTATCTAATCGATATTTTTGATACTCGATAGAAATCGAATGTAATCGATCGTAATCGATACTAATCAATCCATTAATGTCGGAAATCGATAGAAATCGATCACTCGTGTCTTTGTGACTATCGATTTTGATCGATTTCTGTAATTAGCTATCGATTGTATCGATTTGTTCGGCAATGATCGAAAAGAAAATGGACAAAGATTCTCTTTCATAAAGTTCTCAGTTTTATGCTACAATGAGTCACAACTCACTCGAACAAAAACACATTCCCTTTATACAGCTTCATTTAAGATTGACCATAGGATTTTTAATAAATTTTGACACTGAACAGGATTAAAACATGAACAACGCAACTGTTATGAAACTATCGTTTCTGCCTTCACAATTAGAGTCATGCTTGTTGTTACGATATCTCGAGTCCTCTTCGTTCTCTTCAATTCGGTTAGTAAGCCGTTCCACAAACTTTTTCGAGAATTTACCATAATTCGTTCTTTTATAGTGTATTTATTGGCCGATATTAAAGATGTTGTTTGAATAAGGAAGGTTGTCGTTTTTGTGGTCAGCGGCTTACAAATCTAAACAAGCCCTCCGCGCTCCATAAGCCACCATGCGTGCCTCCCCATAAGCGCTCACAAATTACCCTTCTAAATGCTCAGAGAACGGACGACAGTTTGCCAATTTGTACAGTAGTGACTCCGGATATTAACCACGATTCTGATGATTCTAGAGTACAAGTTTTCCTTTGATTTGTTTGTTAGTTATGATTATTCAATACCCGTAAGTACAGCAAAGATCGAGTACACAGTACACAGCACCATAGGACTGCTGGGCTGAAATCTGCTGAAATATTGCTTTAAACAGCTATACAGCAGTGGTACTGGTGAAAAACAGAATAAGAAAAGTAGCTACCATTGGAGAAAGAAGTAACATCACCTTTATCAACAAAGCGGATTCGAAGGTAAGCTTGAAGGTAAATGTTATGCAGTGTCATGATAAGATCAGATCATGTTTTTGATTTTCGATTTCCATCGATGTGACAAAAATTTTGTGATTATCGATTTCAATCAATTAAATTGATTAATCAATAGACAAATATCAAGTACTTTTGAGTATTATCGATTAATCGATTACATTTTCGATGATCGATTTCTATCGATTAGATACGCCCTGATATCTATACGACTCATGACAGTGTGGAAAATTTACCATGCTCTATTATATATAACTGTCCCCTAAGGGCCTTTAAAATCCAGTCTGTTACATGTGCCTTTTTAATTCCTTATCATGACAAATACATGCAAATACATGTAACTCTGATTTGCATTCAGCTAGTGGAATCTAACTGCAAACATTTTAATGAACATATTTACCATTCTTACAAGTTTGTGCCCATTTATACCTGTCTGCTAAGATGTAAGGATGTGAAACTCGCCAGGTCAGTGGTCGGAACTTTGTTACAGAAATAAATCTTCCCAAGTTATGAATCTCCACTTTGGGATAAGAACCATAAACCAGACCAGACAAATAAAACAGCTTTGCTCCCTGAAAGAAACCAAGAAAAATAATAATAATCACAGTAATAATAGAAGTGACAAAGATGTAATTAAAAATTTACATGTTATAATAAAAAAGGAAAACAACACAAATTAAACTCATTTTAGTAACCTGATAAACTTCAGTCCAAAACCTAGTTTTAAGCTTTTTCTTGGTCTTTTTCAGAGCTTTATTATTCTTCAACAGATCAAGATGGGTTAAGACTCCCATAATCTTGGGAAAGCCATGGACTTGACAGATATTCAGGAATTCAAAAATTTCCATCTCAAAACCAAAGCTAGCATCAATCAGCAGAAGAACCTGAAACAGAAATCACCAAAAAAGACATTCATGTCAGGAAAATCAGGATACAAAAGGCTGAAAGCACCAAAATTATGGACATCCAATAATGTTATTGTTAGAAAATCTGGCTATATATAAGGGGCTATTTCTTTTAAACATATTATAATCAAATTATGTGTGCTTACCAGATCAGCAACTTTAGCCACATCAATCATAGAGTTAATGTCATTGTTACATTCAAGCAAAGTAAGTCGTCTTTTCTTCCCTAATAAGATAATCAATAAGAATTTAAATCTCTCAGTACATAGAATAATGCTTAAAACTGAACAATTCTCACCGATGACTCACAAGTTATGCTACATTGTACACGTAAAATAATCTATATCTGTGCGCGTGTCCCTGACTGTTTAATTTGTGGTTTGGTTGTGAATTTTGAAGAAAAGATGACCACAACATGAACTTAATGGTCACTTCGGAGTCTCGCATCAGCTTGTTTATTCTACACAAAAAGGCAACTTTGAATCATTCTTCATATACTGTACAGCGTAGATGCATACAGGTAGCTGACTAAGTCTTGCGAGTTGTAAGGCCTTGTGAGAGGCAGTCAGTATTAGCTTCAGTAAGAATAAGACGTACGGTGCAGTGGAAAATAAAAAACATGATAAACACAACTCTGTATTGCTAACAAAAAACAAAAACCTCTTAAGATGTTATGGGCATCAACGACGACATCAAGTGACAACACAAACACGTGTCCAACCGTGTCCAACACATTGAGTCAATCGTTTCACTAACCTGAGACAATGGTGATAGGACCTTTAACATCAGACAACTGTTGACGGGTGAAGTTCTTCAGTAATGAATTGATAAGCGTGGTTTTACCCACTTTAGGCGGTCCCACCACTGCTATGATGTAAGGTGGAGCTTGTAACGGTGTTCGATCGACAACTGGTTCATGATGTCGCTTGGTTTCAACATCTTGTTTTCGACGAAACTGCCTTGCTGCTTTGACTGCCGACTTAAACGAGAAAGCCTTGGGATTTCTTTGGGCACTAGCATCCTCTGGTAAGTGTTTCCTGTTTTTCTTTCGGTCAGCCTTCGGACCAGCTTGCCTTTTTCTATGCGATTTTGCTGGAGTGCTATCTTCAGCATCCGCCATTTTGAAGCCTCACGTGGAAACGCTAGAGCCAGGCCAACCCGAACGATAGCAGCCTTACCCAGTGGGGTCTGGCTTAGTTGCCCACCAGTTGTATCCAAATTCGCGGTGATATTTTTGTGAAAAGCAAGTTTAATAGCTTTACTTGAAAATTTTAGCCAAAAAGCGTCAATTTTGTAAGCAATTTGTTGTTGAAAAATTTCCCGAATGTTCAAGTTTCTATTTTACAAGATACCTCCTCTACCCTCCCGTAGACAGTTTTCGTAGTTCTTTCTAGCGTAGAACGCCTGGTCAATTTGATTTCAACATGGCAGGAGTTTTGTTTGAGGATATTTTCGACGTCAAAGACATCGATCCCGAGGGTAAAAAATTCGACAGAGGTTGGTCATACTTAAAGAATGNATGGTCTGTACAGGAAACCAGGTAAATTATAATTCTAATTTTAGACACAATTAGTACTCACTCAACAACTTCATCAGGAGCAATTTGAGCACCATCCTATAAAAAGTCAACAGAAATTAGATTAAAGCTTCATTTGAAAATTGATTATTTGACAATTTTCTTATGCAATGTGTTAAATTATTAACAATACTTTTCCTCTATGTTGATGAGATCACATGGTGCTCACTTGAAAGCAATAAATTTTGTTCATGTTCCTATAGTTCTTGTAGTTTTGCTGCATTGTCTATTTGCCTTTCCACGTTCTTGCTCAAAAAGCCTACATTGTACTTTCAGGGCCTAAGAACACATGGCCAAAGTTTTAATGCTACAAATTACAAAAGAACAGTGCAACGTTTGTACACTCTGTGTGGGCCTGAAACCAGGATGTGCAAGGAAACTACAAACATGACAAACCAGGACACACAAGGGAAGACCCCTGTTTGCAATGTAACATTTGTTACAATAAGTAATTTATGATGATATGCAAGCAGGGGAAACTAAAATAATTAACCAGAGTAACAATGAAAAACAGTCTTGGCAGTGTTCCATAATGTCAGTAGATCACAGTGCTGTATATTAATGTAGTAAGACTATTTATTAAGTTTTCTCACTTCTTTGTTTAAAATTTTATGAAAACTACTGTTGTACATGTGAGATCTTTGAACAACTACCAATAAAAAGACACTGCTTACCGTAAACAATGTGAGATGGCTTGTCATCATTTTAGTGTCAATAGTTTGTTTTGCGCCAATTAAAGATGACACCAGTTCATTTCCTGGCTGACTGTCAACCTAAACAAAAATCCAATAATATTAATGCGAAGAAACTGATTTACTAAATTTACCAAGTACACGTACAACGTACAACACAAATCAGCAACATGAATTCCAGTCTCTGAAACAAAATTTGTGTAGTACAAACAAAGTGCTAACTGATATGATAAGATTATATTTGCAGTTGCCTAAAATACTTCGCATGAACTTTTTTCAAACTTTGAATTTACCTGAGCGGAGGACTGGGATTTTTCTCGCGCTGCCTGACTTCCACCAAGGTCAATGTACACAGCATCCTGGAAAGGGTAATAACAAAGTTACATTCAGCAGAACCACAAATTATACACTCAATGACAATGTGGAAAATGAAAATGAAAGTGAAAGTGAATTATTTCATATATACTTCACAATGTGGAAAATGTTTTGTCAACAGCTTTTAAGATCTGTACACTGTAAATTGTATGAAAAGCAGCCTGCAAAGAAAGACGTGCCTGACAGCCTGGAGCTGTTGCACTTTACAGTCAGGCCAGTGGATTCTGTCCTTCACTTGTCTGCTGGGCAAGTGTACAGTCACAAAGTTTCTTTGAATTTTTTTTGTGAGGAAATTCAAATCACAGAATTGCTGTTACAAGAGATGAAATTTCTAGGGCAAGAATAACATGAGAGCAAGAAGATCAAGCAAGCCTAAAAATTTGTTTACTTTGCATGATGAAAAAGAACCATATACAGTACACTACAACTTTACCTGTACCGAATATATACAACATTTTCATATCTGTAGCCCGTTTAAGAAAATTAGTCATAGATTTATTGTTTTCTAGACTATATAAAAAAACAAGATTGATAGTACATGTATCAGTAAAAGGTTTCTGTGTTGATTGCTACCTTGTCATAAACAACTCCTCCAACTCCAGATAAAGGTGCATACATGAGACGTTCTTTCTCATTCAGAGACCTCTTCTTCTCTGCATTTGGCAGAGGACAGGGGTCTGGTAAAAGACTTATCTCTTCAAGAGTGTGGTCTCCACAACCTACAACAAGAAAAGACATAATGTTCAAATGAAACAACAGGGATCAATTTCCAAGTTACTAAGTATTGCACTGTAGAACTTCAATATTGTTGTATCTCCTTTACTTTATTTGTCTTTTACCCAACCACAACAGTGTAAAAATAAAAGTAAATATTGAAAATCCCTCACTAGTGGTGCTGCCTTGAATTAGTGACATAAATAAACCAAGTTAATTACCTATGATATGTACTCTGGAATTGTGTTGCAGATGAGCTCCTCTTACATAGCCATATAAAGAAACTTTCCTGTCGCACTTGGCATTTTGACGAATGAGCTCTGGGTCTGTTAGTTCCTCCATTCTACAGGTAGAAAAGTTGAAAAATGAGACTACAATCAATACTTCATGTTTAAAGGTCCATAATTTATCTCAGCTACTAACACAGAAACATAAAAAGCATATAGATCTGTGCTTACTGTCAGTACTGTATAACGTCACAGTCAAAGAAAGACAGTGGGATGTTTAAATTATAAAAAAATGTAATTTTACATATCTATCAGGGCGTATCTAATCGATATTTTTGATACTCGATAGAAATCGAATGTAATCGATCGTAATCGATACTAATCAATCCATTAATGTCGGAAATCGATAGAAATCGATCACTCGTGTCTTTGTGACTATCGATTTTGATCGATTTCTGTAATTAGCTATCGATTGTATCGATTTGTTCGGCAATGATCGAAAAGAAAATGGACAAAGATTCTCTTTCATAAAGTTCTCAGTTTTATGCTACAATGAGTCACAACTCACTCGAACAAAAACACATTCCCTTTATACAGCTTCATTTAAGATTGACCATAGGATTTTTAATAAATTTTGACACTGAACAGGATTAAAACATGAACAACGCAACTGTTATGAAACTATCGTTTCTGCCTTCACAATTAGAGTCATGCTTGTTGTTACGATATCTCGAGTCCTCTTCGTTCTCTTCAATTCGGTTAGTAAGCCGTTCCACAAACTTTTTCGAGAATTTACCATAATTCGTTCTTTTATAGTGTATTTATTGGCCGATATTAAAGATGTTGTTTGAATAAGGAAGGTTGTCGTTTTTGTGGTCAGCGGCTTACAAATCTAAACAAGCCCTCCGCGCTCCATAAGCCACCATGCGTGCCTCCCCATAAGCGCTCACAAATTACCCTTCTAAATTCTCAGAGAACGGACGACAGTTTGCCAATTTGTACAGTAGTGACTCCGGATATTAACCACGATTCTGATGATTCTAGAGTACAAGTTTTCCTTTGATTTGTTTGTTAGTTATGATTATTCAATACCCGTAAGTACAGCAAAGATCGAGTACACAGTACACAGCACCATAGGACTGCTGGGCTGAAATCTGCTGAAATATTGCTTTAAACAGCTATACAGCAGTGGTACTGGTGAAAAACAGAATAAGAAAAGTAGCTACCATTGGAGAAAGAAGTAACATCACCTTTATCAACAAAGCGGATTCGAAGGTAAGCTTGAAGGTAAATGTTATGCAGTGTCATGATAAGATCAGATCATGTTTTTGATTTTCGATTTCCATCGATGTGACAAAAATTTTGTGATTATCGATTTCAATCAATTAAATTGATTAATCAATAGACAAATATCAAGTACTTTTGAGTATTATCGATTAATCGATTACATTTTCGATGATCGATTTCTATCGATTAGATACGCCCTGATATCTATACGACTCATGACAGTGTGGAAAATTTACCATGCTCTATTATATATAACTGTCCCCTAAGGGCCTTTAAAATCCAGTCTGTTACATGTGCCTTTTTAATTCCTTATCATGACAAATACATGCAAATACATGTAACTCTGATTTGCATTCAGCTAGTGGAATCTAACTGCAAACATTTTAATGAACATATTTACCATTCTTACAAGTTTGTGCCCATTTATACCTGTCTGCTAAGATGTAAGGATGTGAAACTCGCCAGGTCAGTGGTCGGAACTTTGTTACAGAAATAAATCTTCCCAAGTTATGAATCTCCACTTTGGGATAAGAACCATAAACCAGACCAGACAAATAAAACAGCTTTGCTCCCTGAAAGAAACCAAGAAAAATAATAATAATCACAGTAATAATAGAAGTGACAAAGATGTAATTAAAAATTTACATGTTATAATAAAAAAGGAAAACAACACAAATTAAACTCATTTTAGTAACCTGATAAACTTCAGTCCAAAACCTAGTTTTAAGCTTTTTCTTGGTCTTTTTCAGAGCTTTATTATTCTTCAACAGATCAAGATGGGTTAAGACTCCCATAATCTTGGGAAAGCCATGGACTTGACAGATATTCAGGAATTCAAAAATTTCCATCTCAAAACCAAAGCTAGCATCAATCAGCAGAAGAACCTGAAACAGAAATCACCAAAAAAGACATTCATGTCAGGAAAATCAGGATACAAAAGGCTGAAAGCACCAAAATTATGGACATCCAATAATGTTATTGTTAGAAAATCTGGCTATATATAAGGGGCTATTTCTTTTAAACATATTATAATCAAATTATGTGTGCTTACCAGATCAGCAACTTTAGCCACATCAATCATAGAGTTAATGTCATTGTTACATTCAAGCAAAGTAAGTCGTCTTTTCTTCCCTAATAAGATAATCAATAAGAATTTAAATCTCTCAGTACATAGAATAATGCTTAAAACTGAACAATTCTCACCGATGACTCACAAGTTATGCTACATTGTACACGTAAAATAATCTATATCTGTGCGCGTGTCCCTGACTGTTTAATTTGTGGTTTGGTTGTGAATTTTGAAGAAAAGATGACCACAACATGAACTTAATGGTCACTTCGGAGTCTCGCATCAGCTTGTTTATTCTACACAAAAAGGCAACTTTGAATCATTCTTCATATACTGTACAGCGTAGATGCATACAGGTAGCTGACTAAGTCTTGCGAGTTGTAAGGCCTTGTGAGAGGCAGTCAGTATTAGCTTCAGTAAGAATAAGACGTACGGTGCAGTGGAAAATAAAAAACATGATAAACACAACTCTGTATTGCTAACAAAAAACAAAAACCTCTTAAGATGTTATGGGCATCAACGACGACATCAAGTGACAACACAAACACGTGTCCAACCGTGTCCAACACATTGAGTCAATCGTTTCACTAACCTGAGACAATGGTGATAGGACCTTTAACATCAGACAACTGTTGACGGGTGAAGTTCTTCAGTAATGAATTGATAAGCGTGGTTTTACCCACTTTAGGCGGTCCCACCACTGCTATGATGTAAGGTGGAGCTTGTAACGGTGTTCGATCGACAACTGGTTCATGATGTCGCTTGGTTTCAACATCTTGTTTTCGACGAAACTGCCTTGCTGCTTTGACTGCCGACTTAAACGAGAAAGCCTTGGGATTTCTTTGGGCACTAGCATCCTCTGGTAAGTGTTTCCTGTTTTTCTTTCGGTCAGCCTTCGGACCAGCTTGCCTTTTTCTATGCGATTTTGCTGGAGTGCTATCTTCAGCATCCGCCATTTTGAAGCCTCACGTGGAAACGCTAGAGCCAGGCCAACCCGAACGATAGCAGCCTTACCCAGTGGGGTCTGGCTTAGTTGCCCACCAGTTGTATCCAAATTCGCGGTGATATTTTTGTGAAAAGCAAGTTTAATAGCTTTACTTGAAAATTTTAGCCAAAAAGCGTCAATTTTGTAAGCAATTTGTTGTTGAAAAATTTCCCGAATGTTCAAGTTTCTATTTTACAAGATACCTCCTCTACCCTCCCGTAGACAGTTTTCGTAGTTCTTTCTAGCGTAGAACGCCTGGTCAATTTGATTTCAACATGGCAGGAGTTTTGTTTGAGGATATTTTCGACGTCAAAGACATCGATCCCGAGGGTAAAAAATTCGACAGAGGTTGGTCATACTTAAAGAATGAATACTTTTAATTTCAAAGGTTCTTTTTGACCCAAGCAGTTATGTCACCTACCTTTTGTTTGCTTTCCTAAAGAAACACAAGTTCTGTTCACAACTGTTGTACGTAGCGGGCTCGATCCGAGTTTTTAGAACGAATTGCGGTCGTTTCGCCAACGACTCGTTCGCCAACGTCTTAGGTCGATTCGCCAACGTCCTAAGTCGTTTCGCCAACGTCCTACCGGTCAATTCGCC